ACCTTTCAGTGAACAGAATTGTTTTTCTTAATGTAAAGAACATTTTAATAACCTTTTGAGCAATGGAAAGGTTCCATGGTTGTTAAAGGTTTTTCATGGAACCATCAATGCCAATAAAGGATGGAATGCTGGGATGCTGATGCTGGTGTAACCTAGTCCTTTTAATTTTTCAAACAGGTTTCTGATTACATTTCATTAATCTACACTACTTTTAACAGTTCTACCTTTTAGAGTAACAGTGAAAACACAAAAGGCGAATGGACACATCCATGAAGGAGACTCTGTGACATTGGCATGCGGCACAGAAAACTGCACCCCAACACAAGAGCAGTTTGCCTGGTTTAAAAACCAACATCTGATTCCAGAAGCCACTGACAGTGTGCTCCGCATCTCTTCTGTCTCTCACGATGATTTTGGCAACTACTCCTGCGGTCTGAAGAACAGCAGCTCAACTTCAGGAGATGAAATATTGCTTGATGTAAAATGTATGTTCACATCTCTGGCTAGTCTGTCATTTAAAGCACATCACAGCTTTGTTCAAAAACCTGATAAGCAGCATTTTAAGGCATCATAAACACACAGTTACCATAAAAATATGGAAGCTAGAAGATTTCAGAAGATTTCACTAAACCAGTCACCGTTTCTGATGCAACATTTCTTTGCAACAGCACCATTGCATGCAAATGTTCTCTTGCAAATACAGATCCTGTTGTTTCTCCCCACAGATAGTCCAAAGAACGTTGAAATAGCCGTTTTGCCATCTGGAAGGATACAAGAAGGAAACTCACTGACTCTGATCTGTATGAGCAATGCCAATCCTGCAGTGATAAACTACAGTTGGTTTATGATCAAAGAAGCAAACGTCTCTCATATAGGATTTGATCGTGAATTCTCCATCAAATCTGCCAGTCAGAAGGATGATGAACAATACTTCTGCACTGCTAAGAATGACATGGGTTCTCAAAACTCTACAGTGATAGCACTGAATGTTGAAGGTAATAGGGAATATTTCATTCACAAGGAAAGAACGGCTTTTGAAATGGAATACTGAGTACTAAATATTGTACAGTATATTGCCCTCAGTGTATGAAAAATATCATGTAAGCAGCGTTTTCCCATTTTTAGTTCAACTTTGTGTAACGGAGGCCAGCGGTAGGTGCTGTGCAGGTAAACCTCACTCCCCTTATCTCAAGAGACGCACTAGCGACTGAAGCTAGTGGCTGCAGTCTTTAGCCTCCTTGTTAGTGCATCCACCTCCCATGCCGGAGACCCGGGTTCGAGACCCACTCGGAGCGAGAACGAGGTGTGGCGGAGAGGACCCGGGAGAGAGGGGTTACATTTGCATTAAAAAAGAATGTTTTATAACATTAGTAATGTGACTTCGGTTCACTTATCACACTGAAAATAACATCCTGCACATTTTGGAAAATATCACTTAGGTATTGCATGCATACAGAAAACTTGCATGAGACATAGTAAGAAAATGATGCTATTCTGAGCAAAGTTTACCCAAATGTATCCACATTTTTTGTTTGTTTCTATAGTGACTATTCATCAAAATTTCTTGCTGACTGCAACAGCTGTGTTTTTGTTTCTAATGGCAGTAGTCATGTTTGGTCTGATTATAAGGTGAGTGGACGCACAGCATGTGATAATATAGCCTACTGTTGAAATGCAGAGAGAACATAAAGTTCATATGTGTTCAACGTTGCTTGAGTTTGTACTCTGTGGAAATGACACTACACATTACACAAGCCCTCGATGACTTCCCCCATCATCATGTACTGCGTTCAGTATTGCGCTGCTTGTATTTCATGCATGTCAAGCATGCAATCGGTTTACGCAAATCTTGCACTTGCAGCTAATTCTAACCGATTTACATAATAATTGTTGTGACTAAAGTGTAGTATTCTGGCCATTCTAAATTATTAACACGTAATAATACAGTATAATTACTTCAAAAGGAATCTAGTCAGATTAGACGCCATATTGAATTTAATGAGGATGAAATTAAACAAGTCTGTAAAACTGTATCTGCTTACATCTTTACAGGAGGATACCGTTTACGTCAAAGAAGCAGCCCACAGAACAGGTATTAAACACATGAACAGTTCATCTTATTTTAAATGCACAAAAGGCCTCTGTATGTATTAAATGCACACTAAATTAACACTAGTGATTTTTCATCTCTGATCAGACACCTGCAGCCACAGTCACAGAGGAGATCTATGAGAACCTGAGAAAATCAGCAGAGTCTGAGGAAAACCATACAACATACGTGATATATGCAGATCTAAGTCTTCCTCCATCAACCTCAGACAGGTAATGATTAAAATGTCATAATGATGATTATTCGTGGGGGGAAATCTGTGGAACTGATTTATAAACTCCCTGTATGTGTTGACATACAGTATGTCCTTCTAAACAGGAAGGTTCAGACATCGAAGGAACATCTACAGGCTTCAAAAAAAAAAAAAAGGAATGAGGCATAAAAGATTTACTGTAAAAAAAAAAATTAATAAATAAAAAAATTGCTGCCTTAATTTGTTTAGTTTAATCAAATTGGCTTATTATTAAATTTTTACTAATTATTATTTTTTTTTTTTAATAATTATTTAATATTTTTTTATTTCATATCTTTGATATTTTCATTATAAAGAATGTTATTAATATATTATTTTAAATAAAAGACTGTCTAATACATGTAAACATTTCTTTTGTTTTGTAGACCACGTTGCAACAGTCAAGAGGACAACACCGTGATCATCTACAGCCTTCTTAGTTACAAAGACTGAATGAATCTTATCCCTGTGAATAATGAGATTTAGCAAGCAGCTGTTGTTGAAACTTCTCTCTTTTTATTCAAAAGAATTAAATGACTATAATTGCGAATAAATTTACATCGAGTACAAAATTACTATAGGGTCACACATTACAATGAGTATAAAAGCATTAAAGAAATAATTTATACAATGTACAGAGAAGATAAAAAAAGTATTAATAAATCCATATGTACATCTTTTTGCATGCATCTGTATTTACATCCACATTTAACATCACTTGACCAAAACATTCAAACACGGTGCATTTATGAAACAAATAAAATGCAATGTTGAAAAAAAAAAAAAATTGAAACGAATAAAATGCAAAGTTCTATCTATATTAACTATATTAAATGGTTCTTTTTATCTTTACAAAAGGGATTATCGTTCACATTAAACTGAAAATTCATGTCTTTTCAAATCCATTGGACGTTCTTTCTTTCACCTGTTCCTTTAATCAAGATTTTATACAAGCCACAAGCATATGTTAGATGTGCAATAAATTAACATTAGTGATGTTATTAAGCTATGATATTATGCTCCCATTATGTCAGTAATATACTTTAACATGTCAACATCATATTCTACTTAGCTGCATTTTGCTTTTATCTGCTCACTACTGAATGTACATTCAGCTCAAGCAGCATTTGTCATGTACAGTATTTACAGTGCTGGATCACACTCATAATACTCCTCTACATCATACATTTGGTACAATCACAATTTAATAACAAACA